CATTAGCCCTCGGAATAAAGAAATGAATAATATATGAGTTGCTCTTTATTATGATTTTGAAGCCTGATTTAAAATTAATTTTCAAGACTATTATGGAATACCAAATGTCATATTCACTAGTACCTGTATGCTGCTTCCCAATTGCAATGTGCTGTTTGCCACAGCCATCTGTTCATATTCTCTCTCTTCCAATTTGAATGAATATTGACAGAACCTCTTCCTAAAGGAAAAAAATTAGACATTTGAAGCTCTGTTTTTGCACAAAGTTCATGTAAAATTTGCACTCTGTAGCTAGGAATGATACAAAACAATATAGCCATAAGAACACACATCAAGTCATCTGTGCTATGCTCAAGCATGCCAGAAAACCCTGGTATTGTTTTTAAGTAATAGGTCTTATTGGGCAAATGCTCATAAAGTATGTGATACTAAGTCTAAAGGGACAGGAATGCAGTGCATACCTATGTAATATATTCTTTAAAAATAATGCTAAAAAAGACGTCTTTCCTACAAATGAATGCTAAATGCCCAAACTAACATCTTCAGTACATCATAATTATACTCATCAAGCAAGAAGAATTTCTTAATGTTTAAAATAAGCATTTCTTGGCTGGTGGATGCAACACTGAATGTGAAAATTAGGACCTTTACAAGTAGTTTTTGACAGCTTCAAACTTGTCAAGTTACGTCTATCTAAACAGAGTAGATTCATACAATGAACAGCATTTTGTGGATGTATTCTGTATGGAGCACGATGCTAATCTGGAGAAGGAAGGAAAAAATACACAAAGAAAATAATTGATAAAGTACTTATCCCCAAATCTACTTTATATCCAATAGGAAGAATATACAGGCTCACAATTTGTCAGGAGAAAGAGAATAGAAAATCATAAAAATCTGGTAACAGATTAAATAAACAATACAAGCAGCCCTCATCTCCACCAATCTCAAAGCACAGAACTTCCCTTTTGAAAAGAAGTTAGGTCATCTAAGAGAATAACCCATGAATATGTCATCAAGGTTTTTCTATATTCCCCTAGCAGATTGAGGAGAGAACTTCGGCAAAATTTACTACGTGAAAATGGCAGGCATGGGACGCTTTCTCTCTCCTTGCTGATAAAGTGTAAATAGTGCCTTTTCCCTTCCCAGGTAGTTGCTCAATGCTTGGAATAAATTCCAGAAATGAGTATGGTCTGCCTGTGACATCTAAGCCCCATTGATCACCATTGTTGATAGAGCTCATAGGCATCCCTTTGCTTCTCCATCATTTCATGTGTGTCAAACTAAAGCTGCAATTCTTGATCAATTTCCAGATAAAGGTAAACCGTTCTTAAAATAAGGCTATATGAGGAGATGAGTTCTCTTGCTGGAGTCTTCAAATAAGTAAACTTTATTTCTAGATCCATTATTCAAGTCAATTAAGTTAAGGCTGCCATTTTTATTACCCACGTAATTTATTATTTTTTGGTCATATCTGTAAAATCACTGAGTAAGACTGAAGCCTATCTCTGCCATCCATGTCTGTAACTTTTCCAATTGGCGTGAGCTGCCGAAGTTGAATCAATACAACCATGAATCTGAACAATTAGTGACAGGTATAAATATATTCTAACTGGCTGACTGGCGATTTAATTGACTCTGCTGTACATATTCTGTAATATTAAACCTTTGTTTGGGTATGAGTCAAGGAACAACATGAATTGGTAAGTCCCTAAAAATGAGTAGTGGAGGGGAATGCAAGATCAGTAAAGGGCTGAGTTTCTGCCCAGATTGAGAGCTGGAAAGCGAACACAAGTGAAAAAGACTTAGGAATGGTAGCAATCAGATATCAGTTTTGATAAGAGCAAGCACAGACCTCATTCCTTATGAGCGAGTATAACATACTGTTTCATTAATTGGATATTCCCTGGGATAGATATCAAAGACAAAAAAGACGTGTCACACATACACATGCACGTATATATTTAAAGTTACTTATCCATTACTGAAAAGAGATTACTCTAAAAGGTATCCCAAAGAGCAAAAAGAGACACTAATGTCCTTTTTCCTTTCCCAGACCATCAAGTAAGCCAACATAAAGAGCTTGATATATCAGACAGGGTTTCAGCTGAATGTGTCAGCATGAAATACAAGCACTGAGGCAAAGGAGAATAGATTATATATTTTCAAAACCAATGTACATTATATAATCTACCCTGTGGTGACCATAGGATGAGACCCATCAGGTGAGGATAATCAAACAAGCTTTATGAGTAAACACTTCCATGTAGATTTTTTTTTTTTCAGTTGAAACCACATTTCCAAGGATAGCTTTTATTCAACTCAAAAATTCCTGTTTTTAATCGCTCATTTAAAGCTTTTTTTTTTTTAACAATTCATTATAGACTGCAAAAAGTCTCTGTATAGCATTTTGAGATGGGCTTTGCACTAATGTGATAAGAGATATCTTTTGAAAAAATAAAATAAAATAAAAGCCAGGAGAGCATATGGTGCTTACCACTCAGACATTTCTGTTTTTTTATACTACAATTCACCAGGGAGCACTGGAGTTTTTAAGAAACAAACAAAAATACTTCCACACTTACAGGAATGCTCTTGTTTCTCCCCTATTTTAATTAACTTTAAAAACGGTATCATTGCATATTTTAGATGCAACTTGATGAGTTGGGCAGGAAGGAGGCATGTTCATTGAGAACCTGCTGTAGCGTATTATGCCAAGCATTTTCTTTGCAATATCTTATTAGAGACTTGCAATAAACTCTCAAGGTAGGTACTATCCCCTCACTTTACAAATGAAAGTGTCGAAAACTTTCTCAACATCTTACAGCTTTGACAAGTCACAGGATGTATATCAAGACCCCTACTTCATAAATTCAGAGCTGGCATACTGTTAGGAGTTAGCTGGCTCGTGAGGCAGTCAGGGCCCGGGTCCCCTACATGAAGACAGGGAGTCAGGACAGCTAAGACCAAGCAGCACTAGCATCCTGTTTTGCAGCTAAGACAAGAGCACGCTGACATTCTGTTTTGCAGCCTTTGCAGAATTGGCTTCTGCAAAAAGTCCTAAAATAAGGCAATTAACAAAGCATTTGTCACTATAGCCAGCAAGGGGCATTTAAAACAGAAGCCCCCAGATGTCAGCCCAAAAAGACCATTAACACATAAACTATTTACACACAGGTACACACAGGCATGATCCAGCCCTGACTGGCATGACTCAGCATGGCCCAGTTGCTTAAAATACTTATGCAAAAGAACTTATACAAACCCCTAGATTGGAACGTCAAATCGGCAAACCCTCTCGGGTCTCTTCCCTCTCCAGGAGCGTTGTACTATTGCTCAATAAACTTTGTTTTGTTACCCACCACATTTCCTCGGGTCTACCTCTTCATCCTTCCAAGGAGTGGGACCAAGAATGCTGGGTGACACAGGGACTAAAAAAATAGAAATCCCATAACAATGCTAAACAAAATGCGCCAGAGAAACCACAGTCAACAGAACCAGTGGTGCCCTGCTTCCATGGGACTGACAGACTGCTGGTACAATGAACAGCAAGGTTGTTGGCATCTTCCATAAAGATCCCACCTGCTAAGGACATTTGGGCCTCTCAGAGAGCCCCAGTGCTATCCTGCCACATAAGCACTCTAGGAGTACAAAGAGGCTCTACCCACACAATGACGCAGAGCCTTTAGAGCTTCTGTTTTAAATTGCTGTCATGAAACAGGCACAAAAGTCACTCATTATAAAAGCTAGATCTACAGGGGTGCCTGGGTGGCTCAGTTGGTTAAGTGTCTACCTTAGACTCAGGTCGTGATCTCAGCATCCTGGAATGGAGTCCCACATGGGGCTCTCTGCTCAGCGGGAAGCCTGCTTCTCCCTCTCCTCCCCGCTCCTACTCTCTTGCTATCTCTTCTCTCTCTCTCAAATAAACTAATAAAATACTTTTTTCTTTAATATTTCATTTATTTACCTGACAGAGACACACAGAGAGAGGAAACACAAGTAGGCGGAGTGGGAGAAGGAGAAGCAGGCCCCCAGCCTAGCAGGGAGCCCTACACAGGTCCTTATCCCAGGACACCAGGACCACGACCTGAGCTGAAGACAGACACCCAATGACTGAGCCACCCAGGCGCCCCAATAAAATCCTCAAAAAAAAATAGTTGTTTTCAGTTGTTTTCTGGTAGATGCAATAAGTTTAAGGTAGTTTAAGCCTTTTCCACTTATACTTGTCCTTTTTTGTTTTTTAAATCCTAACTTCGTTCCATGTGCAATATGGGGCTTGAACTCACAAGCTTAAGATTAAGAGTCACATGTTCTACCCACTGAGTCAGCTAGGCGCCCCAAGTTTTGTGTCCTTTTAACAGTGGGAAAACAAAATTCTAACGTTGTACTGCTTACTTTTGACATTAAAATTCATTTTTAAATAAATTCACTTAAATCTTAGCCAGCTTGACTGCACATTAAAAATTCCTTTTCCACAAACCTTCTACACGACTTTATTTTTCCACATACCAATTTTGTCCTACATCTTTTTCTCTTGGAACAACCAGACTTACTTGAGGCAAAATTACTTTCTTCCCTCTCAACAGCAACAACAACAACAACAAATCATCTCCATTTCTCATACCTTCTTTTACTGAAAACACATCCTAATTTCCAGGCATACGATGTTCTGTTTTAGCATCCCAGTCTGGTTTCCTCATTTCAGTTCCAAGTGAGGCTGCCACGTGTAAGGTCCCCCAAATGCCTAGGGAGACAACACACAAAGGTCTTGATCTATGTATCCTGGGTGCTGATCTCATTTGCCAAGTTAGAAGCCGAAAGGGATGTGGATAGTCTCAATTATAAGTCTTCCTTGACCTGCCTTACTTTTGCTTCTGCTGCGAGCTGGGCATCGGTGGGCAGTTGAAGGGCCCTAAGAGGGGCCAACCGAGCACGGTTGTCACTCAGCAGCCTTCCTTACCCGGTGGGTCATGCGACTTTCTAACAGAAGTCACACTAACCTGCCCGCCAATTTCAGCATCCCCTCCTCATTCAGTTGTCTATAGACAGCAAGCAAATGAGTCATGCCTCCCCACACGGAGGTGCTCAGCCACTCCCAGGTTTTCCCCACAGAAGCCTTATCTCCCTGGTCCATTCTTCCATCTGTAGGCGCCTCCTATCTGCTTGCCAATTATTCTGTAATTGGCAATTTTGTAAAAGGAAGGTATGTGCAAAACAACCTCCAAAGACTGAAGGAGCCATAAAAAAGGCTCACAAGTCCATCTTGACACCCCCCCCCAAAAAAAAAGGCTTATTAAGAGGACTTAAGGATAAAAACTCGTTGTGGGTAGCTGCCAGAGAAAATCTCTGCAACCCCAGCTTCCGTAACCCCAGCTTCTGATAGCCCTAGAGGCTAGAGATTACTTGCTGGTAGACCACCTGGGAGGAGATGTAACTCAACCAGCAGAAGTCTGCTTCTTGGTGAATTGCAGATGGAAACTAGCATCGGGTGAACTTTGGCACCAAGAAAATCTTAATTGTAGTAAATAAGGACATCTAGAGGAGTAACGTTCCAAAGCTTTGTCTCCCAGAGCAAAGCTGAATGGGTTGTTTTTATTTAGGGTTAGGATGACTATTTAGAAAGGAGAGCATCCCGGATCCCGAGGTGGGCAGAAGGTCGCACATGCGCCTTAAGAAAACATGTCTGTATGTACAATGCATGCTATGTCAGTGAGGCTTGTGCTCTACCTCAGGCAAAGATTTTAGCATTACAGTGAAGTAAAGGTCATTGTAGGTCACTCTTTGGTCCATCTGCCCAAGAGTAGGAGTTTAGCTCAAACTGGTCTGGGCGACCACAGCTCTTTTCTGGGCAGTCATTATTGCTTGAGGTACAGTTTCAGTTTCCATTACAAGATGCTACGACTGGAGGGTCCTTTGCCCTAGTTAAGAGATAAGGCGGAAAGAAGAGCTTAAGGAAAGTGTAGGCGGAAGGTCCTGGGTACCAGCACGTAAGCACTAAAGGTCAGATCTTGGCGTCTAGCTACAGACAGGAAAGTTTGAAATTCCTAGTCATATCTTCAGAGCAAATCAATGACATTATACTCCCAGGGTGTACTTAAGGGTGTGGTTAAACGAAAGAAAGAATGGGGGTAGAGGGTAGGGTCGGGGACGGTTTTGTGCTCCAGGCCTCTTCAGGTCATAGAGTGGTCACCAAGGTAGACTTGTCCAAGATACCCTTAGTGTATCTTGAGAATGCTCAAAATCACATAAATGGTCTTGGTTATTTCTCTTTTCTTGGCCTAGGGTCTTAAAAATAAGTTACCATTTGCTCTTGCTGCCATTCTTTGTTACTGAAGAAGATAGAAGGGGTTTTTTTGTTTGTTTTTTGTTTCTTTTCTTTTGTTGTTAGCCATTTATTTATAGCCTGCCTTATGCCAAAAAAGGACGTGGGAAGACTGAAGAGTTGATATTGACTAATTTACCTACAAAGTTTGAAGTTTGTATTCTCCTGTTCAATTCTTGCCGCAGTCCTATTGAGAGAATTCTTCATAATGAAACCGCTAAAGGGGAAAGAAATAAGGAGAGAAAATAGTGTTAATGCACTGACAAATCTAATTCCAAGTTTCCCGATCACTTTGCTCTAAAAGGCAATTTTGTGAAATGAGGTTTTCTTCTCTTGCATTTGCATTTTATAGATATAGATATAGATATAGATTTTTTTAAGTTAATGTACTTATAATAATAATATAATAATATAATAATAATGTGCTTATAATCAAAAGATTTTGAGAGGCGCATGGGTGGCTCAGTTGGTTAAGTGACTGCCTTTGGCTCAGATCATGATCCTGGAGTCCTGCATTGGGCTCCCTGCTCAGCAGGGAGTCTGCTTCTCCCTCTGACGCTCCACCCTCTCATGTTCTCTCTCTCTCTCATTCCTCTCTCATTCTCTCTCTCTCAAATGAATAAAATCTTCAAAAAAAAATCTTTTTTTTCTGGAGAAAGGAGGAAAAAATTCTGTTTGGATTTCAAATACATTTCCCAGGGAATGTTTTTGATGTCTTGGAAATTTAGGAATGAAGGGCTAAAGCTTTAGCAGAAACAAAGTGTGAAATATTTTCATTTCATTTTTGATCTATAAGAAAAAGAGATAATATTTTCTAGCCTTAGACAAAAAATGTATTAAATAAATTAATAAAATTATATTATAATTTTATTATATATAATATTAAAATTATATTATATTTTTATTATAATTTGTAATATGATATATTATTATTATAATAAAATAAATTAATAAAATTTATTACATTTTTCTTTCTTTTTAAAAATTTATTAATGCCCTTTATTGAGGTAATTAACATATAACATGATACTGTTTTCAGGTATCAGTTTCAACAGAATGATTCAATGAATGTGTATATTGAAAAATGACCACCACAATAAAATTAGTTAACATCCATCACCACACAGTTACCTATTTTTCTCCTTATGGTGAAAACTTTTAAGATCTAGTCTCATAGCAGATTTCAAACATACAATATAGTATTATTACCTATAGTTGCACTGTATATTATATCTCCAGGACTTATTTCTTTTATAACTGGAAATTTGAAACTTTTGATGACCTTCGTTCATTTCACCTACCTCCTGCCCACTCCCATTTCCAGCAAATCCCCCCCTTCTGTTCTCTATACCTAGAAGTTGATTTTACTCACTGACTTATTGATGATTCCATATATAAGTGAGATGCTACAGTGTTTGTCTTTTTCTGTCTGACTTATTTCACTTAGCATAATGCATTCAATCAAGGTCCACCCGTATGTTCACAAATGGCAGGGGGCGTGATGAATTTAAAAGCTACCTTCTAAAAATGTATGTAAGACAAAGAACTAAAGCTGTTCTTCTCTTGGTTTTTCCTTTCTTTCTCTCTCTGTTTTTTTTGGTTTGTTTGTTTGTTTGTTTGTTTTTTAATTGCTGCTTACCCTTCTGTTTTTAAACCCTTGAAGGAACTTTTCAGTGGCAGATAGTAAGCAGGAGTTAAGTGTCGTAGAGAGCATATGGACCACAATTTGCTTTAGGGCCAGGAATTAAACTTCACACAGTCAAAAACTGCTAAAGGGTATCAAAAAATCTCTATTATGAACATGATTAGGTTTTGAGGAATATACTGCTTCACCTGGCACAAACCCTACCCGAAGGGCAACATTTAGGATTGTGGGAAAGTGTCATATTTTCTCTTTACTCCTTTCATGACACACCTGCACATGAAATAAATTGTTTCAAGTACCCACAGTTTTTGTTCTACCTATCACAGGCCTAACAGACTGAATGGTCTATGAATCCTTGAAACTTGCTGGAAAACAAAAGTGCCTCTAACTCACACAGCTTATTTCAAATAACCTTGAGAAGATTCCTAAGACCGCCAGAGTGTTTGTGTAGACATCTTGTTGCACCATAAAACAAGAGAAATGAGAAGTAGCACATGGGATTTTCAGCTGGAAAGGTAGGTTTATTTTGTATTTTGATCCAAAGGATCCAAGGACTAGAAAGTTAAAGAATGAGAACATTTTTATTTTTGAAGAAGAGGAGGAAAAAATATCTTAAATTATGATGTTTGTGATGAATTTTTAGGCATATGTACAAAGTGGGCTTTTTTCCTTAAAGCACCAGAAGCAAATTTGTATACCTATGTTTTATGGACATAAATATAGCAGTACTATAGATGCCTTGAGATTTGTTCTTAAATAAACAGACCACAATCTGTGCATTTCCTTTCTCATTTTAGAGATTACTTTTGAAAAACACAAAATTATATATGATCCTGGTGAACTATAGTATTTCTGATTTTAACTAGGTAAAATCTCTAAAGATTAAATATTTCTCATCTAGCACTATGTTAGGTAGAATAATGACTCCCACAAATGTTCAATTCCTAATCCCCAGAATTTGTAATATATTGTAATGCATAGCAATGTTGATATATTATGTTGCATAGCAAGGGCCATTAAGGTTGAACATGGAATTAGTATTGCTATCAGATGACCTTAAAATAAAAAAGATTCTGGATTCTGTGGGTCGGCAAGAGTCCTTTAACATGGAAGAGAGTCAGGAGAGGTCAGAATGGGAGACAGATTTGAAGGTTTTATGCTAGTTTTGAAGATAAAGGAAGAAACCACAAACCAACAAGTATAGGCACCCTTTATAAATTAGAATAGTCAGGAAAATGGATTCTTCCTTACAGCTTCTAGGAAAATACAAAACAACACAAAACAAAAAAACACAGGCCCCAAAACCCCTTGATTTTAGCCCAATCAGACCCACGTTAGAATTCTGACTTTTGGAACTATACAAAATAAAAATAAAAATGGAGTTTTAATGTTTTTTCCTCTAAGACTAGAAATATTATCTCTTTATCTTAAAGATCAAAAGTAATACAAAGGTATTTCATACATATATAATAAAATATATCTATAAGAATATAACAATAAATCTGTGTTGTACCAAACCACTAAATTTGTCCTAATTTGTTACAACAGCAATAAGAAACTAGTAAATGTTACTCTATGGCTTTTATTATAAAATCCATCTGTTTTATCAGTGTGAAAGAGATCCTAAAATATCTTTAAGAGTACAGGAAAAATGTGTGCTTCAATAGAAAATTTCACTGTCTATAGCACATTTCACTGGATTATCCAATTCTGAATCGATGGGAACTGTTTTCTAACTCTACATTGTAGATAACTAATAAAAATGCAAGATAATTCTTGCCTATGCACATGCAAATCCTGTTCTGTCCAGTACAGGTTCAATTGATTGCTGTGAAAGAAGTTGGTTTTGTGTCAATTTACACATTAATTTCAATATTCCTGATCTACAATTGCGTTTGTTCTTTGGATTCTCCTTTGAATTGGTTGTAATGCCTCAGCAGCTTTCTCATTAATAAATCAAATAAAACCTTTTATACACATTTATTTTTTTATTTCTATAATCATTATGATTTTACCTCTTATTGAGAGCTATCTTTTAACTTCTGTTATCTTTTAACAGAAAACAGAAAACACTTCTGTGACAGAAACTTATCTTAAGCTAAAAGAAGAAAGAAAAGAAGCCAATGAGGAGCCAAAGAAGAAGAAGGACAGCAGGGGAAAGGTAAGG